CCAAACTTCCCTGTCATGAAGAGTGCCTGTCCTTTGAAAGTCTGCCTCCATCGAGATGGAAAAAAGCCAAAAATGTTTTAAATGTGATAGATTTGCAAATGGTGACATTTAAAAAAGTTATTACTGTCTTTTCCCACATATCTTTCAGTTATTGTGGCATTTCAATAGACAACCTACTGCTCTGCACAAGACCTCCAAGAAAGCTTCTGGCACGCACACACACATACACACACACACACACACACACACACGCTCGATGCAGGAGTCACGTACCCCCTCCCACTTCAAAGTCGAGGCCCTCACACAGACACCGTCACCAGCCCCTTTAAACTTCGGGGGAGGGGGGGGATGGCTGAATTTATGAAGACATGTTACAAAGGTGATGGAGCCCTGCAAGTGAGATGGTTCCCCAGAAGCCGGACTGAGCGACCGCAGCGACGAGAGACGGCAGGGAGAGAAAGAGCGGAAATATCCCGCAGGAAGTGACAGAGAGAGACGAAACGCAACAGGTATGCAAACATGCCCCCCCTCCGCCACCTGAACCAGCTACACCCCATTACACAGATCAATGTGGAAGCTTTTATGGGGGGGTTGGGGGTCTACATGCCCTTTCCACACAAAAGTTAAGTGATTCTTGCTGATTTCACCAATTAAATCAGAGGAATGAACAATCAATAAATGGATTCACATGCAGATGTATTGAAGCCCCTACCTCTGCCAGCCATCCTTTTGGGGGGGGCGGGTCTCTACTGATCTCCAGTCCCAGGTTTAGAGAGGGGCGGAGGAGGAAATACTGATTTGTTCCATTGGGGGAATCTCAGCCCGCCTTCCTGTGGGTTTCTAACTCCAGAACCGCCAGGCCCGGCCCGACCCCCCCTCTCCATTCGGGTCACGTATGTCGCCGGTTGCGGTGTTGTGCATTCCGCCTGCAACCGCAGAGGCACCCCGCCCCCCCACCCCATCATAAATAACCCTAAACGGTGCTAAGCTGTGAGGAGAGGAATGAGAATTCAGCTGCATTATTGATGGTCTTAGAGCGCCTTCTGAATCTCTTCCCGATAGCACTGTTTCAGCACTTTCACAACCCCCCCTCCCCCCACCACCACCCCCCAACCAGCGCCTCTCGAGATTAAACTAGTCCTGCGCTAGCCTCGAATGCAAATGGCCGACCTTGATTCCCAAGATTTACAGATTAATTTCCCACAGAGCTGGGGGAGACTTACTGAATCGCGCTGTAAGAAGTGAACTACTTTAGGAGTGCCGCGCGGAGGCATGTCGTTTACACGCCGCACACGCCAGCTGCACACGCCAGCCGCACACGCCAGCCGCGTCTCTGTCCAAGGCCTTCCAGCATGTTCCATTTGGGTCGCTCTAGTTCAAGGCCTGCTTATAAGGCAAGGCATGCATTCAGGTGGGGGGGGGGGCTGACTTTCCCAATTAGTAACGTGAGGTGCTGAACACACACAGCATGTAAAACTGACCCCCCCGCCCCAACTCCATTTGGGCCCTCGGTAGTCATGACCTCTCTGCTGGCTGTCTGACGACCAGTAGCTCTTGGGGGACATCTGACTGGCCCTACTGACCCCAAATCCCCCGCCCCCTCCCCCCCCCAAACACACACACACACAGACACACACACACGTGCACACAGCCAGTGAAGCTCTCTCCTGTCCCACCACTGGCCTGAGAGAAAGTGGAACATAAAGTACTTTGGCAGGCTGGATGCGAGGGGCTGAAGAGCTGCCAAAGACTCACATCTGCCTCTCATCAGCGAGTCGGGTGTCAGCAGAGAGTCCAGCCTCGCCGAGCCCCAGGGATGGCTTTGTGTGTGTGTGTGTGTGTGTGTGGGGGGGGGGGTCCACCAGGTGACTTGTATTATATATTAAAACAGAGTGGAAAAATTAAACAACAGGAGCACAAAGACTGAGAACTGGACCAAGGAGGCTTCTTCTGACATTAAAAACCACAAACGAGCAAAACGTCTTCTCTGGAAAAATAACTAAGTGATAGATGGAAGGAGATAGCTTAGCCAGTCAGACACTGTGGGGACACGAGTGTTAAGGGAAGTGTTGCTAAAAAAACAGCTTAGAGTGATGTAATGTAATGTAAATATCTGAGCGAGATGAGAGACAGCGCTACTGCTGGTAAGATTACCCGTGGCGGAGAAATGCACCCCTGACCCATCCCCATTCTCTCAGCCCCTCTCCCTGCGACGCAGCCACCGAGAGCCGCGACGACAGCAGTGATCCGGGGGACCTGAAGTGTGTCGCCCCTCCGGCTCCTACGTGTAACTCTCACCGGCTTTCTGCGAGGAACAGGTGGCCCCCGCCGCCCCGAGTCAAAGCCGCAAGCCGGGAACCGAGGGGGTTCGCTGGCACAGACGGGTCCTCTAACAGTGCAAATAATATGTCAGGTGTTCAAACCAATCGGAGAGAGCTACTAATATATATGTGTATATATACGGAGCCTTCAACATCTCCCTCGTTCTTCAGCACCACCTGTGACTGCACATATAAAACGTGCTGCATTTAGAAGTATTTAAAAATATATATTCATTCAGCATCATAATTTACATGCAACAATGTCCTATTATTTCAATGCTGCAAAAAGCCCATAAATAAATACTTCTGGGCATGCAGTTTTAGGCTATAAAGTCCAAAAAAGGTGGGCTTAGGTTGGTGCCAGTTAGCGATTGTCAGGCTGCTTTTTAATCAAAGCAATCGAGTAGAAAGCCCCGCGTTCGGCTGGGTGTAAGAGCCTGTTTGCGTCCCTAATGGCATGGAAATGCGACGTGCATATGGTTCAGGAATAAAAGACTCTACTTTCAAATGTAAACGAGTTTATCCAGTAATTAACACAGGTATTACTCGGTAACAATGCTGCAGCATTCGCCTGGGCTACAGCCTGTATAATGAGCTGCTTTGCTTTAATTGAAGTAGCTTATTGACAATTTGTTTCAAACATATAAACGCCACCCAATTAAAGCATTTCTGGTGCCACGTCCAATTTACATGTGACCAGATGTTTTCGAATTTTTCACTCGTCCGCACTAGGTCCTTCTTTCAAAGTGCAATTTACATTGAAAACACACTATTTCACAAGAAAGCTCAAAACGGCATATATTTAAATATCCAGGACGGAATGAGAAAGAAGAAATGGCCAAGGGAGCGCGATTCCACCCGGGTTACACCCTAAGGGCGGCCGGCCGCCGTAAACTTCCTTCGCAATGATACGATTAAAATCAGGCGATGTTTAGCCAGAGGTTAGGCAAAGTGTATCTGTGCAATACATAAACCATTTAAGACCACTAAGTTCATTTTATGTCAATTATAATTAAACACACATTAGTTTTGTTTGCCGGCACACCAGTGCATCTTTTAGAAGTCCAACTAAATAGGAAGATCGCTCTGTCTGTAGAAACCAATGACATAAAATCTAAGAGTCATATAAAAGAAACGAGGCCATTTCAGTTTCCTGGGCTTTGCCGTGTTTTGTGAAACGAAAACGACAGATCGCATTCTGATGAGATGAGACACGTACAGTTTCGTCTCCGAGAGAAATAGGGGACATATAATCACCAGGTAAAAGTTTTACAGCGCGAGTTCGATTTATTTAAATAATCGCTTTAAATATACAGTGTGCGGATGTGTGGTGGTTTTCAGACACGGCACTGAAAGAGCAGTATACTGTAAGTACAGACTTTCACCCACCACAGCTTACCTGATAGACTAGTGTCGAGGTTAATACAGCATCAGGCTAATAAATGAGTAACACTGTGCACTGCATTGTGCTGCTACAGATATGGGAATATGCGCGGCTGTACGACTTACAGAAATACTACTACTACTCATAAAATAATAATAATAATAATATTTATAGTACGAAAATATCGAAACACCAATAAGCAACGGGTGAAGTTGAAACCTGACCAGAAAAATCACAATAATGCTAAGACGTCATGTAGCAAGTTAATATATTAACACTCGATGACAACCATCTGGAAATCAAAATTAGATCTGTTTCCCCAGTCCAGGTGCGCTATTAAAATTATTGTAAATAATCATTTAATAGAAGCAGTTCAGAAATAAACATTATAGAATAAAATTAATGAACACTAAGGCGTGATTGTATATGTTCGGCGCTGGCCAAATTATATATTATTAATAGTTTTAATAATTCTAAATGGGCAATGTGGAACAGCACGCTGACAGAAGAGACCGCCTATCACTTTGTGTCTAGAATATAAATTACAACTGTACTGGTCCAACTTCAAATATGTGTCTGTCTTGCTATCTAGATTTTTTTTTTTATTTTTAATCAAGGAACGTAATTCCAGTCATTCGTAAGATATTTAGAAACAACATTGTGTTTTTTGAAAAGAAAAAAAAGGAATGTGTTGAGACTGGAAAAGGAATCCTCCTTCTTCAGAAATATAGCCTCATACAGAGAACAGAAAATAGTTCTTTTTTTTTCTTTTCCGGGCAGATGACTGTTAACGTTCCTGTAAAATAAATTGCGAAACGCCAATCGCCGCTAAGCAGTCTTTGGCTGCAGTTGATCAGCGTCCTCGGCCGCTATATTCAGGCTGGCGGCCGCCGCTGATCGCGGCTCATCGTCCGCAGGACCCGAAAACCAGCCACCAAACACTCCGATGTATCGGAAAACCACGGGGATCACACGCCGAGCTCCTGGCAACGTCATTCAGAGATCAAACCACTTACGTGTTGTATGAGAATGAGTATCATTAACAGAAAAAAAACAACGAAAATAAGATTTTTAAAAGAAAGTGGGACAAAAGAGGGAACGAGGTATGAAGTTCCTAATTTACAGAGATGTTTGTTTTTAGCTGAAACAAAAATCGTTTGCAGTTACGACTAACAAGGAGGCCCGGCTTATTTTATTGTTTCATAAACATAATCGTGAAAAAACAACTCAAAGGAAAACTTACCTTCATTTCCGTGCGCTGTAGACATTAAACACAGAACTAATAGAAATCCAGACCGTGTGGTATATAGATCCATCTTTGCTGGGGATCCTCACCCTTGTGGTGTTGAGCAGAGCTCCCTCTCCTATCTCCTAGTGGCACTAAAACAGATGTTTTCCTTTCCGATCTGCACACTTATCCTCCAAAAAGGACCCCAGCCCCGGGCTCTCAGCGCACCAGTCCTCCTTCTCACTCTCTCACTCTCCCACCTTTATCTTTACTTCTGTAGACGCATCTGAATGCGCTTCTATTTCAGTCCAGCTTTCTTTTTTCTTAATCCACATGAAACATTGACTAGTGAAGCGCCGAGTTGCCGAAAATCACTGGCGGAGATGAGAACGAAGCACCGTGTTCTAACCGGAGCGCTTTGAAAGCACCGCAGATCCGAGCGGCTCCACACTGACGGCGTTGCTCCTCTGATGTATGAAACGAGCGTTTTGGTTACTTCTAAATGCACTGACATGCGATGTTTCCGCGTCTCCTCTCTCTCTCTCTCTCTCTCTCTCTCCTCCTTTTCTCTTCTGCTTTTCAAGTCGCTCCGATTTATGTGCAACAAAATGACAAGCAAAGAGGCGGCCGTGCGGAACCACTGCGCCGATCCTCCGAGGGCTGAATGTGGCTTCAAGTTCGACCGGCGTCAGGCATCAGCCGTGGGGCATGCGGGCTCTGCGGATCGCGGCGTATCCGGCACGCTGTCCTCCGGCTCCGGCGCTACGCGCAGCGCTGCGACGTGTGTGTGTGTGTGTGTGTTACAGATTGCACCTCGGCCCGCCTCCCAGCCGGCGTCCGCTAGCGCTTCTTGCTTAAAAGTTATTCGAAAGCGAGAGTAGGTGAGACGTACAGAAGCACACGGTATCTTTCAATATTTTTAATACTTCTGGCTACTTGGGGAAGGTTGGAGATTTTGAGATTCAGTCAGGAACGATTAAGATAAGACGAGAAGACAGATATACGATGCTAATATCAAGAGTGGAAAAGGGTGAAGATGGCATGAAAACAATGACTGATTAAAAACAGGACCATCGGCTCCAAGACAGTAAGGAATCAACAGTGATAAAATGATTAGGTTCGTCAGCGATTCAGTAGCGGGAAGTAAACAATGAGAGAAATGAGAATCATCATGACCAGACCCTGGCTGGTTTGTTTTGCAGGCTGCAGGAGCTGTGTTTGCCACCCCACGCAGATCACCAGCTCCTCTGTGGGGGGGGGGGGTCGTTTGGGGAAGCAGGCTGATCAGGCAGGCCTCATCAGAGCCGGCCGCCGGCAAAGAAGGACCACTACAGCTAACGTCATCTGAACCCACCCTGAACCCACTGAGCCCGGCCCAAAACCCGGCCTGCAATCAGCCCGTCCTAACTACAGAGACTGAGGATTTAATGACACAGCAACTCCCTGCAGCTCCAAAAATATGTATCCTGGGAATGGCTTTGCTGGGTGGTGCCCATACTTACAGTACAGTATTTATACTACATCTTGTGCAAGATTGGCCGGTTTGCGGGCGCTTATGACAACGGCAATCAGAGGAACTTTGTGTTTGATGTATGGGTGACTAAGCGCACACGGGTCGAGCGGCTGGTGACGCAGTCCCCCTCAGCAGCACTGCAATCGCAAATGGCCTGATTGTGCCCGATTCATACCCACAATCCAATGCTCGCCGGGATCCATGGGAGCGTAGTGCTGCTTTTCGGTGTGGCATGCTCTCCAAAGCGTCCCTCGACCTGCCACTCTGGAACCCACTTGGTGTCTGTCCAGGTGCTTACTGCTGTTGGCAGGGTGTAGACTCCACCCCTGGGGTCAGCACCCTCCTGAGGGTGGTAGTCTCTGTCGGTCTACACTACGGCGCCTCAACAACATTCTAGGCAAATACTGAGTGTCCCCCTAAAGCAGAAAGTGGCTCATTTCCTGTCGCACCCACAGTTTGCAGAGTGTGACTGAGTGTGGCCTTTTCTGGGCCCATCTATGCCCCGCCCCAAATATGCCCATACTACACCCTCAAAAATAGAGACTGATAAACTTCCTGCATGTCTGTTACGTTTTCCATGACCAATGTTTGGTTCCAGGTACCAGGCTGGGTCTTCAGCATCACACTTCCCAGTTACGTTTGTGTAGCAGTCCAGCCCGTCCTCAAGATCCCCCTGCCTGTCACTATTCCTGGCCCACAGAGCTGTTTGGCCGGACGATGGTGTCGCACGTGGTGTCGCACGTGGGGGCCGCCATCTGTGCACGCATGGACAGTTCACACATGCACACCCTCAGATGTGTTTGGATCCGAGCTCTCAGGAGAAACTGTTTGCATATAGAGTTACGGACTATGGAAATAGTGAGTTTCCTATGGAATAGGACTGACTGAAAGGGAGCCATTTTGTCAGGACGTATATGATCTCTGGGCATCTACTTCGTCTTCGAAAGGAAGATGACAGCGTGACACAGCAGTCACGCCAAGACTATCTGATGCACACACTGAAAGGGCATCACCTATTTCAGGCTATCATAGGCAACATTATCATTTGCAAAAATATGTACCCGAATGATATAAACTCCCCCCACATATAAAATGCAGTGAATTGGTGCTTTTTTGAAATCCCCTGAAATACATCACCGAAACATAGCCAGATACTCAAATGCTCACATTTGAATTCTTTCGCTCACTCAGTAATTCAAGTGGAATTTCTAATACTGGTTATTATAGGGAAGTGACCCCCCCCCGCACCACGCGATCAGTACTTCAGGTAAATGGATCACCTGTGGGTCTTTTTGTACGCCCCCCCCCCCTTCCCCTTCCTGCGTCAGATATCTTGTGCTGACACGAGCAATTTACTCTTCACAGTCAGCTTACAATCTGGGGAAAATGGTCGGTCAGCTTCACACAGAGGTGGGAGGGAAGGTGGGCAACATGTCAGGGAACCGGAAAATACCCTTTACAGTTAACCCCCATCCCGTGTCAGAACACAGAAGCTGTCCTGTTATTAATAACCTCGTATAATCGTGTATTCGTAACCTCGTATAATTTTATGTAGTGTCACGCGAGTTATACATCCATATATTTCAAAGATGCACGCATTTAGGTCTATTAATTGGCAGTTCCAGGGTTACTCTCTCGCAGTCTGCTCTGTTCACCAGCTATATGTCCAGACATGTACTTCAGAGCGGTCTATAGGAGAGCTTCAGGTGGGTGAGCAGCGGTGCGACGCAAAATGACCGCAAGAGGGCGCGTTTTCGCCGAAAACAACCACCGCGCGAACAATCTAATAATAGTCCAATAAACAGAACTTTTAAGTAGCCAAGTAAAATAAACAAATATGAAGTTGTTTAAAGTATTTTTGCACTAGATGCCAGACGAATGTGCGCGTGAGAAGTACATTTTATTTGCCTAACGAATTCATAAACCCTTTAAGGATTGTATTCAGTTAAGTCATCTTGCGAGCAGATAGCGGCGATCCAGGGCTTCAGAGCACTATTTCAAAGGAAGGGCGACTTAGATGCGCTCAGTTGTCGGATATTAAAAAAGCCAGGAAGAATTAGGATAGTGTTACAGTCGGGATAACGAAAGTTTTCTATGATCAGCTCATGGCTTCATTAGACGAGGATGAAAGAACCATCAACTGTTGATCTTTATTTTGTAATTTACTTACCGCGTTTAAATATATGACTTAACAAACGCTATTACCTCATATAATCTTACCGGAACCAAAGTATTTTAAAAGGCCAGTGTATAATCGATCAAAGGAAGTCATTGATGAAAGCGGTAATGATAAGACTATCGATTTTTTTGTCCATGACAGAAGCACGAGTTGGTTTTCACTGTAAATACTACTTAAGTAATGCATTTGCTAGTCGAAGACTGGTAAACTGATTAGGGATATAATTGGTCCAATTTCTCCAACGATCTAATTCTCAATAACGGTCTCATAGATCAATGTAACGACTGACTAAATTGGACTTCTCAGAATTAGCTCATAAACAGTTATATATCTTTATTTTTTTTAATGTAGCCGTGAAGTGGTGTCGTGATACTTAAACTTTGGGTTTAAGGCCGCTGTTGCTTAGGGCGACAGACAGACACGGATCCCCCCCCCCCCCCCCATTCTGTGATGTCTCCTTTCACCACTGGCTGTGATCAGTGATAAGGCCGGAGTCGGGGGGGCTAACACAAATAAAGGAGTCTCTAGGCACCTACAGTGCCCCCCTCCCTGACAGGGCCAGCATTGATTAAGATCAGAGTGCACGTGGCAGGACATGGGGGGGTGACAGGGCTATGATCAAACACCTGGAGGGCCTCCTTTAACACCCCCCCTCCCCCCATTCACGGTGACCCCTCCCAGGCCCATCCCAGTCCTACCACAATGCCCAGGTCTTCCTCCTACATCAATGTCACTCCTTTGCCTGATTACAAGAGCAGGCCGCTCGCTGCTTATTTACTGTAAGCCTCCCCCCCCCCCCATGATTCAGGGGACTAACTTTGTCCATCTCCTGGTAAATCTTCCCCCCATCACCTGAAAACAGATACTGGGCTTAATGAACAGTTAGTCACTCGAGAACGGCAGCTCATCCAACAGAGGCGAGTCAGTGGGTGTCTGGGGGTGCCCGCTCGCGTCACGCTGTGTCATTTTCCAAAGGGAAATGGGCATCGGTATTGGGGGGGGCTGTTTACCATGAGCCACCAAGCTGGGTGGTGCAGTCAACCCCACGTGGGACACTAGTGTGCCCTTAAAACTGGGACCCCCCTGAATACTGGGACACCCCTGAATACTGGGACCCCCTCGATACTGGGACCCCCATTAATACTGGGACCCCCTCGATACTGGGACCCCCTCAATACTGGGAACCCCCTCAATACCACCACCACACTACAAAATCAAAAGCACCCAACCCCCCCATTCCACAGTCTCACCAAAGGTGGGGGAAGGGGGTATTACTGCCATACAATGGCCTCCATTCACATAAAAATGATAAGTGATAAATCCTTATTTGCCATTTGCACAAGTACAAGTACCAGTACACTGGAATGCTTCTCTAGGCTGACCCCATCTTGCTCTTCATTGCTCGGGCTTCACTGCTCAGGGTCAGCCTACATGTGACACCCCCAGACCTGGGGGTTAAGGGCCTCGCTCAAGGGGCCATGGACACGCGACCCTTCTGCCGAAGCCGGGGCTCCAACCTTGATGGGCTACAAAGGCACACGGAGACTGAGAAACGGGAGGGACTACAAAACCCTGTGTGCTCTTACACGTATGTCTGTGCAAGTGCACGACTGTGTGGCTGCACAGGCATTTTGTAGTTACCTACAGAGTTTGAGGGATCTGATGAAGTAATATGCCTCTATATATGAAGTACACACTGATAATGCATTTAAATGTCTTTCATATTACAAGAGGATCTGAGTATTCACTCTGAAGTCAATCAAAACAGGCAGAGAATCAGCAGGCTGTGTGTACCAGCCATACCACAGCTCTGGAGTGGAAATTAAATCATGCAGTGCAATACAGGGGATCGAGGACCCCCCCGGCCCCTTTCATGCTCTGTCCTCTGTCACAGTCCTCTCTCTATGCTAAATCAGTCCTCAGCAAACTGTGAGGAGATAACAAGCACCTGTTAACGTCTCCAGAAAGCGAACAAATCAGCAGATACTTTTGTTTAAGCTTAAGGACCAGCTGATTGCTTTGTCTGGCTAGGAAAGAGACAGATGAAGAGGATGTAGAGGAGATGGGCAGGCCTAGACCTTTT